GACTTCGACTGTGGATTGGGCATGTCATGGCCTACATTGTGTGCGAGTTTCAGCTTGATCTCAGGTGTCCCGAATCTGGGCTGGATCCGGGCTGCGACGTATTGAGTGTCGTTTATTTGCACATTTTGACCTGCCGAGGTCAAACGGGGTCACATATCGAAAAGCGGTTTTTTAGGAAAGTTACTACGGCCTATGGGCTACCCGATGATGTGCTTTGATTTGGAATTCGGTCAATTCATCTACTCGAAAACTGCTGTGCAAGTGTATTTTCGACATAGCCCACAAATGACCTTAGGTCGTCGCATGTCCTTGAGAGGTCAAATGAGTGCCGGGAAAGTAAGATTAGATGCTGGCAAGTCGATTGGTGCCATTTTTAGTGCTCTAGCTCTACTGGGTGGGCCACAATCTGCTGTGCAAATTTGGGCCACGTGACCTTTGCTGACCTCTGTAGGTCAAACGGCTGGGAGTGCCACCGAATGACTTCGACTTGGGCATGTCATGGCCTACATTGTGTGCGAGTTTTAGCTAGATCGGAGGTGTCCCGAATCTGGGCTGAATCCGGGCTGCGACGTATTGAGTGTCGTTTATTTGCACATTTTGACCTGCCGAGGTCAAACGGGGTCACATATCGAAAAGCGGTTTTTAAGGAAAGTTACTACGGCCTATGGGCTACCCGATGATGTGCTTTGATTTGGAATTCGGTCAATTCATCTACTCGAAAACTGCTGTGCAAGTGTATTTTCGACATAGCCCACAAATGACCTTAGGTCATCGCATGACCTTGAGAGGTCAAATGAGTATTGTAAAAGTAAGATTAGATGCTGGCGAGTCGATTGGTGCCATTTTTAGCGCTCTAGCTCTACTGGGTGGGCCACAATCTGCTGTGCAAATTTGGGCCACGTGACCTTTGCTGACCTCTGTAGGTCAAACGGCTGGGAGTGCCACCGAATGACTTGGACTGTGGATTGGGCATGTCATGGCCTACATTGTGTGCGAGTTTCAGCTTGATCGGAGGTGTCCCGAATCTGGGCTGAATCTGGGCTGCGACGTATTGAGTGTCGTTTATTTGCACATTTTGACCTGCCGAGGTCAAACGGGGTCACATATCGAAAAGTGGTTTTTAAGGAAAGCTACTACGGCCTATGGGCTACCCGATGATGTGCTTTGATTTGGAATTCGGTCAATCCATCTACTCGAAAACTGCTGTGCAAGTGTATTTTCGACATAGCCCACAAATGACCTTAGGTCATCGCATGACCTTGAGAGGTCAAATGAGTGTTGGGAAAGTAAGATTAGATGCTGGCGAGTCGATTGGTGCCATTTTTAGCGCTCTAGCTCTACTGGGTGGGCCACAATCTGCTGTGCAAATTTGGGCCACGTGACCTTTGCTGACCTCTGTAGGTCAAACGGCTGGGAGTGCCACCGAATGACTTCGACTGTGGATTGGGCATGTCATGGCCTACATTGTGTGCGAGTTTCAGCTTGATCAGAGGTGTCCCGAATCTGGGCTGAATCCGGGCTGAATCTGGGCTGAATATGGGCTGTCTTGATCAACATAGGGTCGGCCGGCATTGTTGGTTTAGCCGGCTACCGGCGCTCGGGGCGCCGGCCGGTCCCGGTAGGGGTTGGTCGCCATGACAACGGCCGGCGGTTGGTAGGGGGAGAAGTAGTAGTTGAAAGCATCCGCATCGGGAAAGAAAATAGTCCTACAGATATTGACGATTTTCTTGCAAGCGAGAGCAGATAGACGCATGAAAATAACACCGTTGGATGCGTCTTTCAAAAATACACAAATTTTTAACTGGCAACGAATACTTCTCCATAATGAATTTTCTGATGGCTTCACGACAGCAGCACGGGCGACAGGTCCGAAATTTTAAACGGGGAATAATATCCAGATCAGTCCACTCACAGTCCTGGTGACTTCAATGCAGATGCAGGGCAAGTAGAAGAACACTGAGTACACTTATCGACGGCTTCGCTTCAATTTATCCGCCAACCTTTCCCACCACACCGCAACTCACTAACAACACCCCGAGCCTCGAACGCGGCCTTGAACAACGCGGAAACGAAAACCAGTGGAGCTCCTAGTGCTGTTCAACTGTTGAGTGCTTATGTATGAAATAAATGCTATTTTATTAAACAGCATGAAAATGCATACAACTTTAATACTTTAGAATGGTATGGTATAAACAAAAATTTTGAGGAAATTATCGAATGTCAGAATTTTCTAGTCTATTCAGTATTGCTCTTCCACCATCGTCGGCGCGCCGTCGCCGGCCGTCGGCAGCATTTCATCTCTAGCTTTTTTCAATAAGGCCTCAAACTAAAGAAATAATGAGTTATGAACAAAGTAAAAGATGTCATCGAGATCTAAAAAAATCCCAATTAAATTTGGTGGCAGTATTGCCGCATTTAATGCAGCAGTTTACTTTATTTTCGTCTTCCACCATCTTCCACCAACCAGAACTTCCGGTGAAAAGTCAGTGGATATAGGGAACTTCCTAGAAATCTGCGAAACACCTGAATATTTCTCTAGGGTTTAAAAGTCTTCATAATTCTAGTGAAATTCAGGGAAAAGAGATAAAAAGTACTAGTTTTGATAAAAACACTCCTTTTTTTAATTTTAGATGTTTTCCATAGACAACAGAAAGTCGCATCGGGTAAACCAGGCAGAGCATCAGTGGCGGCATTTTTTCCACCATCGAGGATCGCTGGCTTGTTCGATTTTCCACTGCCGTGCGTCGCCGTGACGGCACTTTATTTCACCTCTGCTGTGAGGAGCCACTTTTCATCTAAGAAAATTTGGTCAGAGCCACCAAAACCATTTTTACCAGCCCTGCGCCACTGCAGTGTCCGTGTATGTCCGTGTGTGTCCGTGTACGGGTATCTCCCGAGCCGTGTGTGTCTCCGAGTCGGTAGTGTGTCCAGCCGGTGTTGGACAAGTGCCGCTGGCCGGCCGTGGCGGCTGGAATGGAGGGCCGGGCACGGGCCGGCCGGCTCATCCGCCGGCGGTGGGAGGCCCGGTGTCTGCTGTGGGTCACAGACCAGCACCGAGCACTGCAGTTGTGAGGGGGACGGGTGCAGGCCATACAACACACATAGAACTGCAACAGGGAACTGCTTACATGACACCAGTCAGAGTGGCCAAAACACATGTGCAATGCGCAGGAATCTCAGAAAAGGTTTATGTGTGTTCTGATCCCACGTAGTTATCCTGATCTCGGATCCGATGGGATCCTAGATCCAGCCAAATGGCTCGAGACGGCAGCTGATTTACCCGAGGCGGCTCTCAGACCTGATCCCAAATGACGGCGGGTAAAACAGTGTGTCGTATACAGGTTATCGTCCGCCCGGCACCGGGGAAGGCGGTGAAATACGGCGAGTGGCGATCCAGCCAGTCAGTGTGTGGCCGCCGGTTAACGGTGAACTCCCACGCTGGGCCTGTATATATATCAAAAATAGCCCCCCCCCCCCCACCAGGTCGCGTTATAAACAGACCCCACCAGGGCGCGGGTTAAGATGTAGTTTTGGTGCCTTCGTAACATGTTACGAAGCTGTAAGGGCGGTTGCCACCTACTACCTACGAATAGCCGGCAAAACCCTTACTGGTTGACCTGACCCAACCTGGCCTAAATACACGAATACAACATCTATGATCATAACTAACATTATATTCCTGATCAGCACTTCGAAAAACCTCATTACGACCACCCTTTACGACGCTCTAACAGGTCCCGATTTTACCGACCTTGGGTAATTGACCTCACCTGGACCTAGGTCCCTAAAGCTGGTTATCATCGGCTTCCTCTCGTCACGGGCAACACGCTCGTTATTTTTCCGCGAAGCTCTAGCTCGATCAGGGGCGAAACGGCAAGGGGGGAGTCCAACGGACCCCCCCCCCCCCGATACTCTCGCGGCTGAAAAAAAACACCAATACGGGCGAGGGATAATCCATAAGCTGCCCTTCGTTCGAAAGAGCGTCAAAAATAAAGAAATTACTTCGACCACTTTTTGGTCAGGTCAAAGTTCAGGTCATTGGGTTCATTGAAAGCCAAATTTTGCCGCATTTCAGGTCGAATATCGACAATTTGCAAGTTGCCGACGCATAACTCGGGAACCAATAGAGCTACAGCGCCGCGGAGAAGCGCATTTAGTAGCTATATTAGCGTTCTTTCTGGTTATTTTCTCAAATTTGACCTAAGGTCAACGGTTTTGCCTGCAGGGAGCAAACACTGCCAAATAAAATATTTTTAGAGAAGTATTTCTGCAATAAAATTATACTCAAGCCTTGCACGAGCTTTCTTTTACCGACATCGTGTTCCTCTTGTCAAGACGCATCGAATGAACTATAATTTGACCTTGAAAGGTCAACTTGGAAATTTGACCTCAGGTCAAAGTCATGATCTGACCGGATATTGTCATGTTGCATCTCAGTGGATCCGTATCGTCAAGCTGAAAGCATACTTTCATCGGTGACCTGACCTTGAATGTCCTTGGTCTGAAAGTTTAAAAAAAAACGACAGAACATTGGAATGTTGCGAGTAATTGAGGCTGCTGAAAGTTTTACAACATGTGTAGAATTGATAGAGCTGATAAGGTGCGCCGAGAACGGCGGCGCGGAGCGCCGCCGTTTTTTGAGATATCGGCGAACACCGCACGGGTGTTCAAACACCCCCAGGCAGTGTGCATTGTGACCATTTGCCCCAGTAGTCAAAATTCCTTAGCCGAGGCCCTGAATGATTACAGCGCAGCCACTGGAAGTTGCATGTATAAAGTAGTTTCATGGACTACTGTATCACGCATATATGTACTTATGATGTTCATATTTACATTCTACATATGACTGCAACTGCTGATGCTAAAAAAGTGTTGTGCGGCCGCTCGGCTGTGTCAGTGCTGGCTGTGTCAGTGTCTGACACTCTGATGTCAGTAGTGCAGCGGGGAGCTGGCGGCAGCTCTGTCCGACTGCAGTCAGCTGACACAGCTCTGTCCGACAGGGCCGGAGGTGACGGAGCCGAGGTGGCCGGAACGGTAGTGGGGTGATCTGTCAGTGTCGCTCCAGGGGGTGGCTGCCGACACCATCAGTCCCCTGGCTGGCCTGGGACGGACGGTCACAGTACTGGAGATATACGGTGAGCAGCGGCAGCACGGACAGGCCGCTGATATACGAACTCAGCGAATGGCGGACACTGAGTAACGGTGTGCCGGTGTCGGACCTCATGGAGACAGGTGTGATACATAGCCAATGTGCTTTGAGAAATAATGAAGTAAATTGAGCTCCAAAATGGAGGACTGTTCACTCAGTGACATATTCGTTCAGAGTTAGTTGATCATACTCATAACAATTGTGTTGCACTGTTCAATGAAGTTCAATGCATTTGCTTAACATTGCATATATCATATAATAGCACTGTTTTACCATTGTCTACTGTGTCCATAAAACCATGTGAATTATTAGGTGTTTTTTTCGTTTTGTCATATATCGACATGTATTACAGCTAATTGATCCTGTCTATATGTGTGTCTGTGTGTTTTCCAGATTGTACTGATCACACGGCCGGCAGCCTGGAGCCCCTCACCAGGTGCCCTGAGCTGTTCAGTCTCACCCTGTCCGGCGGCGTCCCTGACACCGTGAGCCTGGAGCCCCTCACCAGGTGCCGTGGGCTGCGATGCCTATCAGTCACCGCCGCCGACCTCCCGCTACTGAGAGGACAGCTGCCGGAGGGCCTCGTATTCCTCAATGTCAGAGGTGAGATACCGCAGATCACACATGTAATGACGGTATATGCAAATGGTCAGCGAAGACGGCAAATGGACGAACCAATCAGTCTCAACTAGCAAGTTTCATCGTTAATCATGTATATTACTCGGTGGTGAGAGGGGGAAGGGGTTCAATGCATGCCCTTCGATAGTGTCCATGCTTGTGGCATATGCGTGGAATATTAGTGTAACGTCACGGGGTGATTTAAAAGTTGAGGTACTAGCGATAGTTGCATTGTCACAAGCAGCAAATTTCCGAACAAACGTATTGAGTATTAGTGCGAATTCGGCATCCGGAAAATCAGGGATAATTTTCCGGGATCAACGGGATCATTCGGTGTTTTAGGCTGACACCGTGCACAACGCACATGCCAATGAGTAAAAGAGCCATTACTGAAGCAAAAGCAATATAAAAATATGACTTATTGCATCGATAGTCCTTGCAATACCAAATTATTACCGGTGATCCCGGATAATTATCCCTCTTTTTCCGGATGTCGAACGCACGCCTGATCGACAACTGACACTGACAGACTACACAGAGAGCTCGCTGACGACGAGTCTGAGGAGACTGACGAGACTGACTGGCCACGGCCCTGGCGCGGCGGTTATACAGAGTATAGGTGGCGCCACGATCGAAGGCGGCCAGCACAGGAATGCAGGCATTGCTACAATTAGAGAGCAAGTATTTCAATGGGAAATGATTATTAGATATAGTGCAACCAATGAGAGTAGCATAAGAAGTTTCATAGACTACTGTATTACGCATATACTTATCGCATATACATATGTTCATATTCACATCCTACAGACTACATATGACTGCTGCTGCTAAAAAATTGCTGTGCGGCCGCTCGTCTGTTTCAATGCTGACTATGTCAGTGTCTGACACTCTGGTGTCAGTGGTGCAGCGGGGAGCTGGCGGCAGCTCTGTCCGACTGCAGTCAGCTAACACAGCTCTGTCCGACAGGGCCGGAGGTGATGGAGCCGACGTGGCCGTTCGTTCGTGGTCTGTCAGTGTCGCTCCAGGGGGTGGCTGCCGACACCATCAGTCACCTGGCTGACCTGGGACGGAGGGTCAACCGACTGGAGATATACGGTGAGCAGCGGCAGCACGGATATGCCGCTGATATACGAGCTCAGCGAATGGCGGACACCGAGTAACGGTGTGCCGTTGTCGAACCTTATGGAGACAGGTGTGATACATAGCCAATGTGCTTTGTGAAATAATGGAGCTAACTGAGCTCCAAAATGGAGGAGGACTGTTCACTCAGTGACATATTCGTTCAGAGTTAGCTGATCATAGGTACTCATAACAATTGTGTTGCACTGTTCAATGAAGTTCAATGCATTTGCCTGATTGCCAATATCATATAATAGCGCTGTTTTACCATTGTCTACTGTGTCCATAAAACCATGTGAGTTATTAGGGTTTTTTTTTTTGGCATATATCAACATGTATTACAGCCAACTGATCCTGTCTGTATATGTGTCTGTGTGTTTTCCAGACTGTCTTGATCTCATGGCCGGCAGCCTGGAGCCCCTCACCAGGTGCCGTGGGCTGCGATGCCTATCAGTCACCGCCGACCTCCCGCTACTGAGGGGGCAGCTGCCGGAGGGCCTCAGGCTCCTCAATGTCAGAGGTGATATACCGCAGATCACACATGTAATGCCGGTATATGCAAATGAACAGGGGAGACGGCAAATGGACGAACTGATCAGCCTCAACTAGCAAGTTTCATCGGTGATCGTGTATATTATTGTAGTGAGAGGGGGAAGGGGTTCAATGCATGCATTTCGATAGTGTTCATGCTTGTGGCATATGCGTGGAATATTTGTGTAACGTCACGGGGTGATTTAAAGTTGAGATACTAGCGATAGTTGCATTGTCACAAGCAGCAAATTTCCGAACAAACCTATTGAGTATTAACCCGCGCACCGACGGGGGTCTGCGCCACCTTAGTACCGACGGGGGGGGGGGCGGATGACCGCCCCCCCCCCCTGAGATCTCGAGAACGAAGCAAGATAGCGACAAGCGGTAAACGGCATCGGATACGCACGGACAAGGTCTACAATTTTTACAAAGGTCATTTTCAGGTCAGGTCAAAGATGACGTCACAGGGGTCGAAAAAGTCAAAATGGCGGCGCTAGATATGGAGAGGGTTTTTCTCGAATAACTTTCGAAGTATTCAAGATAGGAACAAACTAAGGGCATCATCGTGATCCTCTCGTCAATCCGCATCGAATGATATATATGTTGACCTCGAAAGGTCAAGGTCAAAGGTTGACCTCAGGTCACGTGACCTCGAGGTCATCATGTATATCATTCGATGCGTCTTGACGAGCTGAACACAATGAGACCATCCGCGCGGCTGTATCTTGTTCCTGTAAGGAGTTATTGGCAAAAAACCTTTGGTGACCTTTGATGACGTCACATGACCTTACAGCTGCCCAACAGCAAAACAGACCTCAAGGTAGTGAAGGTTGATCGTATGTGAGGTCATGTATGGTATATGGGGCCATTCCGACCCGTTTTAGTGGTAAAAACAGGGAGTTGATTTTTCCCCCATTGACTTATAATGGGGAGGTCGCGAAATTGACCTGACCTTAGGTCACCGACATCAAAATTCCGAGATATACAAATTGTAGCTACTAATGACCTTATAACATCCTGCGACTTTCAAAGGCCTCCGACATCTACTGTAGCTCTGGCACGGTGACAAAGTTGCAAAAAAGTGACTTGAGGTTGGGTCATTCAAAGTGACCTGGTGACCTGACCTTAAAAGTTAGGAGGTTCAAACTTGCACACCCTGTGTAAAATTGATGAGAAAATAGTCATACCAAATTTCGCGGCGCTACGCGCCGCGGTTTTCCCGCTATCCGCGAAAAACCTCAGGGGGGGCGGATATCCGCCCCCCCCGTCGGTGCGCGGGTTAATCGACGACTGACACTGACTGACTACAGAGAGAGCTCGCTGAAGACGAGTCTGAGCAGACTGACGGGACTGACTGGCCGCGGCCCTGGCGCGGCGGTTATACAGAGTATATAGGTGGCGCCACGATCGAAGGCGGCCAGCACGGGAATGCAGGCATTGTTACAATTAGTGAGCAGTTGTTCCAATGAGGAATGATTATAGACATAGTGCAACCAATAAGAGTAGCATAAGTAGTTTCACTAGTTTCATAGACTACTGTATTACGCGCCATATACTTATCGCATCTACCTATTATGTTCATATTCACAGTAGCGGATCCAGGGGGGGTGGGCAAAATGGGCATTTGCCCCCCCCCCCCCCCAAACGGCATAATTTTAACATACGCCTATGGACGATGCATGGAAAGAATCGATAAATTGTTATGCTTTGCCCCCCCCCCCCCAAACTCTGAGCTGGATCCGCCTCTGGATGCATAGCCAATGTGATTTGTGAAATAATGAAGCTAATTGAGCTCCAACATGGTTCATAGCTGTTTCGTTTTTTCCGTATATTTACATATATTCCTGCCGACTGATCCTGTCTGTATGTGTGTCTGTGTGTTTTCCAGACTGTCCTGATCTCACGGCAGGCAGCCTGGAGCCCCTCACCAGGTGCCCTGAGCTGCGGGGTCTCACCCTGTCCGGCGGCGTCCCTGACACCGTGAGCCTGGAGCCCCTCACCAGGTGCCCTGAGCTGCGGCGTCTCACCCTGTCCGGCGGCGTCCCTGACGCCGTGCTGGACAGTCTCAGCGGCTGCCCCGGGCTGGAGTACCTTACACTGGGGGACTGCCAGCGGCCGGCAGAGACGGCCTTCACAGCATCAGCGGTCACCAGGTCAGTCAGCAGACACTGGCGAGGGGTGTCCTGTCAGACACCGACACTGTGACACTGCACTGACACTGACACACTGACACTGACACACTGACACTGACACACTGACACTGACACACTGACACTGACACACTGACACTGACACTGGCACTGACACACTGACACTGACACACTGACACTGACACTGACACACTGACACTGACACACTGACACTGACACACTGACACTGACACACTGACACTGACACACTGACACCGACGCACTGACACTGACGCTGACACACTGACACTGACGCATTGCCACTGACACCAACACACTGACACTGACACACTGACACTAGCACATTGACACTGACGCATTGTCACTGACACCAACACACAGACACTGAAATACTGACACTGACACTGACACACTGACACTGACACACTGACACATTGTCACCGACACATTGTCACTGACACATTGTCACTG